ATTGCGGTACACTATTGAACATTATCGAAAACGCTTGAGCGCCAGTTGCGTGCCAATGAAAAGTATTCAATTTACAGGTAGCCATAGCGTCGATAGTACGTAAAAGTTCTTCAACAGGAAAGTAATTATGTACGGTGTCGATCATTAGACCTCGATATCGAAAGCGAGGCGCGTCTTGAATGGAAGCTGCTTCCAACATTAATAGGGAGCCAGCATAAGGATCCAGCCATATCAACTGCGTGAGAGTTTCGAGCGCATGCCTTGCACCGCAAAAAGAATTGGCTATGATGTAAACTGCCATGGTACCGACGCTACCGACTTCCGGTTGCACGGACAGCGCATACCTCTCGTCCGTGTCGAGTCGCATGCGAGGATCGCCACTTCCGTTAATCCTCACTCGAACTACAACTTTATACCATTCGTCGAATCCACGTAACTGTTCTTCAGTGAAACTTAATTCTTGGCGAAAAATGTCAAAAGCATTTTGTAAATGTTCCAGAACTGGTTGCGATGTAAAGTCCAATACTTGTAACTGGAATAAATCGGCTCGCACAGGGACAGCTGTAGTAGACAAACTGACGGATCCAGTAGGTTGTGGCCAAAGTTGAATTGTAGTACATAACATATTACATGTAATAAGAGACTGAAGTCTTCCAGAAATTGTGGCTTTAACAGGCAAACATTTTCCATTTATACAATCCCAAGTCCATAAAGGCTGATTGCTGTAAAATATGTTTTTTTAACATAAGACGCAGGTAATTAAAATAAGAAAAAGTACATGTTGTAAACTTGTAAAATGTAAACTTACAAACGCCGAGAAGCTTTTATCTGTAAAACTATTATTAAGAGAAGGAAAAACTTATTTAAATGATGCGCCATGGAATGACACATCACCTGTTTAAATTAAAACACACCCAAAACATCTTAAACTGGATTTTTGTTACAATTTACAATAAATCTACATCATAAAGTAATCTTTGTTTAATTTGTGAATGTATCTTTCTTTGATGTTGACATAATTTGTGTAAGTATTGACAAGCTTTCATTAAGACAGAAATAAGAGTTATGAAACATAATATTCTGTTCTGATACAGTTTTTGGATTCTAAACTTTTAGCCTCTAAAATTACAGGGACTACTTAGAGGCTAAAAAAGACATACCAACAAAGATTGAAACGTTTTGTTTAAGACAAGTTATAGTTATACTGTTACAAAGTTATAGTAATACTGCCATTTACAGTTTTTCATACTAGGTAGAACTCCACCCGGCAATTAGATTTTGTAAGTTCAGGGTTATATGGTGTTGGAAAACCGAAGTCAACGCTGTAAACCAAGTAAATGACACGAATTAGATAAAAATATGTAGCCGTGTGATTTTTTTATCTTTGTCGTCCGTAAACAAAATTGTAATTAAAAGTAGTTTTTGTCTCTGGTACGGGGGAGGGGAACGTAAAAATGACAGCTGTCAGCTGCCTGAAACTTATATGGCAGTATAAGGCGGAATAATTGTAATTTCTAAAATACTTTGATGGTGTGGTATTTTTCTATACTGATCACATTAAAAAACTATAATGTCGACAACAGAAGGAGATTTGGATGTCGAAGTGTCCCATGAACTGGAGGAAGGCGAGGTTAGAGAACAATAGTTTTTATAGTTTCTCTTAAATATAATTCTGTGTTTTGTTGTAAGAGTCAACTTAATTGTGTAAAAAGTATGTAGCAAAGGAATAAAAAAGCTTCGCTATCAATAGATCGTCTGAAACTGTGTAGTGGAGCTTGTGATTATAAAATAAAAAGTTTGACGTATCGACGTACGTAATGGGATACCTGATTGTATTTTTTTTGTTGCAGTTGGAGGAATCTGACGTTGAAGAAGGCACATATATTCCCCTTGCACGGCCAGAGACCTTTAACCCGCCGTCTTTAGTAAACATGCAAATACAGGACGAGTTAAGTGATGAACCATCCCATGAAGAGTCGTCAGGCTCTGAGTCGGAGGAGGAGCCGCGCCGCAGAGCCAAGCGGACCAAGTTACGCTTACGAAGATCTCATCAACAACAGCAACCACAAAATAAACGAGATAAATATAATGTGTGGTGCAAAACAGTGCAGGTAAACCTCTAAAAACTTAAATGTAAGGTACAGTTAAGTTAAAGTTAATTAGGCCTTAGCGAGTTCTGATAATATCTCTTTCACAGGAGGATCTCTTGACAGAGGATATGGGAAGTATAGATGTGACAAAAAAAAGTGATTATGGTGTTGAATCTTATGATTATACAATTAAGTATAGATTAGATGATAATTATGTATCAAAAAAAGTTTTTTCAAATGATCAATTACATAACAGAGACAATACAAGTAATAAAAGGAGGCACACTGATAGGACAAATGTAAAATTAAGACTTGGCAAAAGAGTTAATTGTAATCAGCCCAGAGAAGACAAACAAAAGCCAAGGTATTTACCTAACTTAACAATGACCACAGAAGATCCAATAGAAAGTATTGCAGAGGAAATTGCAGAAAAATTAACTGAATCAAAGAAGGAACTAGTTGGTATGCCATTATTCTTAAATGATACTTTCAAAATCTTTTCTAATTGTTTGTTTTACCAAGTTTTCTATACATTCTGAGCCAAAATGTTATTTCTGTATTTCTTTTATATTCTAAGTTTTATTACATTTAGTACTTGATCCAAAGGAATAGCCAATTGTTACTTACCTCTTAAAGATTTTCACCCATTTAATCGTTTCATGGTATTGGCATTGAGTGAGTTAAAAAGAACATGTGTCTTGTTGCAGTAAGAATTCTTCAAGTGGTAGGTGCAAGCAAAGCTATAGAATTATACAAAGAAACACAAAGATTAGAAGCTGATGGTGGTATGCTTGTAATGGTTAGTATAGAATTCTGAGATTGGTAAATTAGTGTGCCTGTGCCGAAATTTAAAAACCTTTGCCATATTGTGGAAAGTGGACTAAGTCTGATTTTACCAATTCTTAGCTTTATAAAGAGATATAATAAATAATTGAATTGAAGATCCCAGGCCAAGCTTGGTTAAGCTATAAACAGTACAACTAAGAATATAAAAATTCTAGCTATATCGTTTCTGTTCTTAAGCTGTACTAATATTATAAAGAGGAAAGATTTAAATTATTAGTATTGGAATAACTCAAAAACTACTGGCCAGATTTTAAATATTCTTTCACTATTAAAAACCTACGTTATCAGTAAATAAATCAGTAAAATGGGCTATTTTTTTTAACCTTCGCCGGCGAATTCGAGATAAACAGCTGTGTCTTAATAAATCACTTAGTTTGTGGTATATATTTCAATAAAACAACATTTGATTCATAATCCCATGATTCATGAAAGTGAACTGAAGATCAGAGCAACATTGTTTAACATTAGTAATGTTTGGTATACCTAAGTGCAATAGAATACTCAAACTGTTTGAAATGGCTACTCAATTAGACTAAATAACTTTTTCTTCAGAATGGTACTCGGCGCAGGACGTCAGGTGGCATATACTTCTTCCTTTTAAAACATGATGAAGATATATCACAGGCTATGATCAATCAGATATTTACTGAAGATCGGAAGACATCAGCATGTAAAGTCAAAAAGGCCCTCGCAAAGAATCGTCAGAAAATTATGGAGGAATTAAAACAGAGCTTAACAGGTAGTTAGTTCAATATTTAATAAAGATTCCACTAAATTGTGACTCGACATATAAGCATACCCTTTTTGAGATTTATAACTTGAATACATCAATTTTATGTAATTAATGGATCAGTACAACTAAGCCAAAAAAGGCAACTTTTGAAGAGTCTAAAAATATGCTGTTTATGTTTAGTAAACTTTCATTATTATGAAATATACATAAACCATCTGAAAAAGGAACCTTCATAATGGAGTAAACCATATTTTGATCTATTTCATGCTTTAGCAGAAAAAACAAGGTGAATAAGGTCTAATTCAATGGAAATAACAAACCATTCTAAACAATTTTAGCTTTACAAGCTTTTAATCACAGACTTATTTGACTTTATTGTGTCATTAATTTTAAAACTAAAACCTACTTAAATAATATCATAGACAATAAACGATTGTGTGAGTGAGTAAAATGAGTATTTAAAATGTCTTATTTACATTAAATTGGACTATAGATTCATTATATTTCTTTCAGATTCTGAACTACCCTCACTGTTATCCCGGGGTGAGGCGACCGTGCAAACTGAGCACGGCTCCAACCCGCCACCGTCGCCAGCGACAGACGCGCGCGAGTGCTCGAGCGACACGGACGCGCCGCAATCGCCCTCCCGGCCGCACGCCACCCTGCCCGACTGTCTGCCCGACAGGAGGGACGCGGACCCGCGGCAACTACACGCGTACGAAGACGACGACGACTTCTTAGAAGTTATGTGCAACGAAGAAATGGATCTATTCTGAGAACATTATTGGTGATTGAATTGCCTCAAAGTGAATATCTGTGAGTTTGTAACTTTCCATGGGCATTATGTTTTATGGCTAAAACTGTAAACAAGTGTGGTCTATAATTAAGATTTTTATATCGTTACTTTGAATTGTTATTGGGTGCTCACAATGATTTGATCAAATGTAACATTGTGCATGGATAGAAATCTAGTTGGTGCAGGCAGTTGGAATTTTGGCCTATGCTTGGAACTATCAAAGGTAAAGTTTTATTGTTATTAACATGCGGAAATGTCTGTTTCAAAGTAATGTGACATGGTTACTAGGTATAAACAGTTTAAATATTATGTAATATTTAAGCTATGAAATATATTTAAAAAGAGCTTTTGTAGCAGTTATCAGGCAACAGTCCATGTCTGATGTTAAATCAATGTCTACAACAAAACTATGAATGCACTGCCAGACTTTTTGAAATACAGAAAACAAGAGTAAATAAAATAGAAACATTTAGGAGACAAAACTCTAGTTTATAATATGTAAATTTGATATATTTTCCAGTTAAAGTAATAAATGGCTATTACTTGTCTATGACATAGCCTAACAAGGATTTGACAAAAATTGCACCCACATACGGGATTATGAATGTACTTGTATAAAAAAAATTGTGGATATTTAGAGTGCTTGCACACCTTTGAGCTTATATGAAGGTGAGCACACACTACTGGATCTTTATTTGTGCAATTAAACAGATAAATTGGCTGCGACATAATCAACAATTGCACAACAGTTGTGCAATTTAATCGAAAGTGTGCATCTACTCTTAATGTTATACTCATAATTTGAGTAAAAAACGAATCAAAGTTGCCAACGTTAACATTTTTACAATACTGGCTTTAGATCACTGGGTGTGAATTCTTTTTGGCACTTTTGAATGGAAATATGTTGTAAATCATAGAATTATGTTGTAAGACTACAATAGGAGTCCCCTTTAAATCCAGTGCCCTGGGAGGTTGCCCAACCGCTCCCTATCCTATGCCGGCCCTGCATTTTTACTTTACAATAAAGTTGTTTGGTTTTGGCCCAAGTAACAAGCAGGATTTATTTTATCATATTCATTAAAACAGGCAGCACTATTTAGATTCAAGAATATTCAATTGAGTTTATTGGTTTTTAGAATAAAATGAGGCTGCTTTTATTTTAAACCAACTTCCAAAAAGGGTTTCAATTTATCTATATTTACTTTTGCCATCTCATATAAGACTTGTTTTATAATACTTTTTTTAGTTCTCAACACAATTTCATGTAGAGACTAGCATGGGCATTATGATGTTCACATCCGCCTATAAAATTATTTTTATAAATATAACCATTGTCTATGGTTCTTAGTATTTGGGCTGTAAAATTAGCTGTATTTGTAGACAATAAATATTTTTATTATTTAGGTTTTCCTCTCATGTATACTCCTACCATTAAAATATCGTCTAATTAGTAATTTATTGTGAAAGTGTAAAAAATACTATTGTTGAGAGTCCAGAGTTACATATTTTTACAACAAGAAAGATTTACGAATTGTGAGTTTTCATAGAATTGTATGATCAGTGTGAGGAATGTTATTAGACAAACTCTGGAGTATTTGTATAATAAACATTAAAAAAAAACATATTTTTTACTACCATTGATTCGCCTGTTTTAATCCAATGCTAATTTCCTCCTAAATATATTGTTACAGTAGCAAACCTTTAGATAATATTATATTATTAAAACGAGCCGTCGCCCGCAAAAGTGGTTAGTGCTTTAGATCACCCGTAACGCCGTTTTGACAGCGCGGAATTTAAAAAAATAGCCTATAATATCTGTTTGTGTCAGTAAAGTGCAAAAAAAAACAAAAGTGAGTAGCCTATGTCTTCTTTTAGACTATGCTTTACATCTATACCAAATTTCATCAATCGTTTAGGCTACAAACTCCAACAAACATCCATCCATCTAAACTTTCGCATTTATAATATTAGTATGAGTATGACATATTATACATAATCCCATTTTATATCATAAATTATTACACTACATCAGTTTCTGTGCTTGATGAATATTAATTCTTTTCCCCAGCCCCCTGGTTGGCATTGACTATGCCTATTACAGGTGTTCGGAGTGTCACATCATTTGAATTAACTATTCCTTATTCCATCACCTTATTCATCGACCACATTTTTGTGAGGTTTTAGTACTACTTAAGGTTAGTTAGATGCTTTACACAGGTACTAAAGAATGAATATTGTCTCTTGGCTTCCTAATCATGGATAGTTTCAAATTTTGCTTCTTGCATCTTATTTATTGCTTACTGTTATTTATGAAAAGCTTTTAGGAGGTGAAAATATGCTTAAGGTTTTTTAATATTTAAAACTAATAGGTACAGTTTAATATATTTTTATTGTATTAAAAGAAACATTGTTTTCACTAAATGTATTTTGCAAATAAATTATCACAAGCATTGGAGATCTTTTTGGTACAGGTTAAAATAAAATAAAACAACTACTTGATGTTTGCAAATATGAACATCTGCATTACAGTGGCAATTCCAATGTCTGAAACAATAAACATAAATCCATTACTATTTTTTTTACTCTTAAGGTTAACCTTTATTTAAATAAACTTTACATTTTTTACTGCAACATTTCTAGAGATATTTTTAATTCACATTAAGATTATTTTTACTGTCACTGTTACTGAACATTAGTAAATAAAAAGTAATATGTATATTGGAATACCAAACAATTTTTTGTGTGGATAGAATCATAGACATAAAGATACTCACTATTTGGTCCATACTCTTTAGAATATGTTCACATTTGAGTTCATTAGCACCCTCTTCTTTGGCCAGTTTTGATGCCCGATGACTACATTCCATGATCAAGCAATTGCTGAATTGTTTTAGTAACCTTATAAATTCAGGTCCCATGTCAGTGCTGCCTTCGTCAAAAACTTTATATATCTCTTGCAGCATGTTCTTGTAGAAAATATTTGTAAATTAACTACTACATACTGTCTCATTTATTTTATGATCATTGTTATTGTAATAATAAATAAAAAAATGATGCTCAGATGCAGACAGCGGTGCTTCTGGACACCGCCCGAATTGTCCGCCGGTTTCTCTCCCTTTCACCCTAACCCTCGGCCGTCTGGTCACGCCTGCTGAGGGAGTCCCGTCTGGCTGGTATTATTTACGTTTTTTATTATTTATTACTTAAGCATGTTTTATTATTATTTAAGTATTTTATATTAGTATGTATATAGAAATATAACCAGCCAGACAGAGATAAAATACCTTTAAAAAGAAAATAATAAAAAATAACTTTATACAACTTACAAGTTGTAAAGTAGTCATAACCGCAATATTATCGTTATCTTCTGAATAAGGATCAATGATTTCATCGACGCCCTCGTCGTAATTCTTGTAAGCCGTCAAAATTTTTTCAGCCAAACCAGTATAATCGTCCTTCGTCATCGTAAAGATATTTATCTGTCTACCCGCTGATAAAATTCAAGCAAAGCTCAAATGAAAATGGCAAATTGAGGGACGAATAAATCGATCGATGTCGATGTAAGCTAGTGATGGACTCGAGTTGCTTTTCACTCGAGTGACTCGAATAATTTTTATATTACTCGGACTCGAGTGAAATTTTTGACAACTCGAGTTTCGAGTGACTCAAGTTGACTCGTAACCACACGAGTGATTTATACCGAGTCGAATAAGAAAATCTTACAGCAATTTCAGTTATATTTGCTATATTTAAAAAAAATACATTATTTCTGTGCTTTTGTGTAAGTTTATTTAAGCTTCATTTAGGTTCCGTGTTAGAATAAATTAAATTGGATTAGAATTTATTACTAATACATTATTAAATAATATAATATTTCAATTCAACACTCCCCGTGGAAGAGGCAATAGAAAATGCAAAGGGAACTAACGTCCCTTCGCAGAACCAATGAGTCAAGCCGATCGGTGAGACCTCGGTCGTTGACGATTCGAGTGGCACGTCGCTGCACGCGGTCAAAAGGAAGAAGCTGGTATTTAGGGGCTCCGGCCCAGAGATGCGAGCAGTATTCCATATGTGGCCGAACTTGTGCTTTGTATAACTGCAGACGATGGGCTGGCGTGCAATACTGCTTCGCTCTCCCCAGCACACCAGGCTTCTGGGAGGCCAACTTGGCCTTCCCTTCCAGATGACCACGGAATTGGACGTCACTCGATATCTCAA